GGGCGCCGGGGCCAGGTCAGTGACTCGATGCTGCCTGGTTCTGCCCCCCGACCCCCGGCCTTCGCTGCGAGGCAAGCTGCTTGCTTTGCAGCACGTACCCCATGCGTGCAGAAACTGGTCGCCTGGTGCAGGTTTTTTTGCTGTTTGTAAGCCATCTGCTTGGTTTTCTGTTAAAAGAATCATGCTCAATTTTTTTGCAGTAGGCTTTTCTGAGGGATATAAACAATTTTTTTTTTTTCTTTTTTGTTTTTTTAATACAGGAGTTGCTCAGGGTGATGAGGACAATCGATGATAGAATTGTCCACGAATTAAACACTACGATTCCGACAGCTTCCTTTGCGGGGAAAATTGATGCCGGCCAGACGTGTAAAGAGCTGTACCAGTCTGTGAGTGTGTACTCCTTTGGCTTTCGGCTCGCTTCCTGATGCTTTACTGCATGCAGCGGCCAGTAAAGCACCCCCAGTTTCTGAGGGAACCACTGCCATGATATATTGTGCTTTATTGTGCTTTTACCTGTAACTGTCACGCTCGGCTTCTCTGCGCAGCTAAGCCTCATGTGTGTAACGGCTACTTCGATTTAAAACCACGTGGGGAACTGAGTTGTTCTGCAGTACCCACTCTTCGAGGTGCACTTAAAGCTTTGGGGGATGGCGTTAGCCTGGCCCGCTGCTTTCTTTCAACAGGGGGTGCTGGCATGCTTTTTGTGGTACAGCGCATGACTCGTGCTCAAAGCCATGTTGCTTCCAATGTGTGGATTATAGATTCAAAGATTTTCTATAAGCACAGCCATACCTTGACTGTAGAAAGTCTCTCTTTTAACTTGTAACTCTGAGGGTTTTGTTCTCTGCTGAGTTGTTGTGATTTTTCTTTCTCTTCCCGCTCAGCTGATGGATGCTCACACCAGCAGAGAGAGAATCATCAAAAGCTGCATTGCTCAGACTTCCAGTGTAGTGAAAACTCTCAGAGAAGAGAGGGAAAAGGCCCAGGATGACGTAGCGTTATTAAAGCAGCTCAGGAAAGAGCAGACAAAGGTGAGTGGTGGGGCTTTGTAGATATCACTTAGAGAGGAAGACTAGGATATCTTTCCCAAATGGAAAGACCACTGTGATGGAGAGAACCTGAGGTGGATCCTGACTCAGGCAGTCTTTTCTGAGGTTCTTGTTGGCTGTGTTTGTGAGAACCATTTCCCCCAGCCCTCAAGACAGAGCTGCTTTTATCCTGCAAGCAGGGCGTTTTCTGAGATCCTGTTACACAAATGCCGTCGAAAAACATGTGTGCCTCCCCATGGTGGACCCTAACCTTCACTGACTAATACCACTTTGTGTACAACTTCCCTGGGCTGCTTGGTCCTTTCAAAATGTCTGAAGGTTCGTTTTGCCTTTTTGAGATCTTGAAGATCTGACAGATCTGCAAACAGCAATTGTGGGTGCCGAGATGCAAACGCCAGGAGCTAATGAAATATGGCTGTTGTATATGGTCCCTTGCACCACCCAGTTACGCAGCCTTAAAGCTGTCACCTTTCATCATCCCCATGAGAAGTACCGTTCTTACTTGGTATGTTAACTGGAGATCCTGTCCTCTATGACAAGCTGCCAGGCAACCTTGAATTCCATTTAACCACCTTTATTGTTGTTTAGTATTTCTTGGATTGATTTTTGTACCTTGTGATGATGCAAGAGAGGCATCTGGGTTTGCATAAGGAATTTTAATGTGCAAACATCCTCTCAACCTTCTGGCCTCTGGATGGAAACTGTACTTTGCCAGAGGTGAACAGAGGTGATCTGGATGGAGTATTGGAAGTGGAGAAGGGAACCCCACTGAAGTTCTTGATGCCATTCCAGGGCCCCCTTTGTAGGGGAGAGGATACTGCATGTGCAGCTCTAGGAGAGGAGATTAGCAGGGGTGTGAACTGTTCCATTGATTTCTTTTCCAGACCTGCTCTGTAGGGCTTATGTTCATAGAATCATTTTAGTTGGAAAAGACCTTTAAGATCATCAGGTCCAACCATTATCCTAATGATCCTAACACTGCCAAGCCCACCGCTAAACCATGTCCTTAGGCACCACATCTCTACCTCTTTTAAACACCTCCAGGGATGGTGACTCCACCACCTCCCTGGGCAGGCTGTTCCAATGTCTAACCACTCTTTCAGTAAAGAAATTTTTCCTAATATCCAATCTAAATCTCCCCTGGCACAACTTGAGGCCATTATCCCTTGTCTTGTCATTAGTTACTTGGGAGAAGAGACCAACACTGGCCTCACAACATCTTCCTTTTAGGTAGTTGTAGAGAGCAATTACGGTCTCCTCTCAGCCTCCTCTTCATTAGGCTAAACAACCCCAGTTCCCTCAGGCGCTCCTCCTAAGACATGTTTTCCAGACCCCTCACCAGCTTTGTTGCCCTTCTCTGGACACGCTGCAGGACCTCAATGTCTTTCCTATGCTGTGGTGCCCAAAACTGGACACAGTACTCAAGGTGTGGTCTCACCAGTGCTGAGTACAGGGGCATGATCACTTCCCTACTCCTGCTGGCTGCACTATTGCTGATACAGGCCAGGATGCTGTTGGCCTTCTTGGCCATCTGGACACACTGCCGGCTCATGTTCAGACGGCTGTCAACCAGCACCCCCAGGTCCTTTTCTGCCAGGCAGCTCTCCAGCCACTCCTCCCCAAGCCTGTAGCGCTACGTGGGGTTGTGACTGAAGTGAAGGACCCAGCACTTGGCCTTGTTAA